TTTGTGAGGAATTTGATGTTAGCACGTTGTTCTGCATTAGCACTCAGCATTATTCCGACGGAGCTCAGAAACACGATCCGCTTCTAACAATGGTCGCGGCCAGACTAACCGATGCACGTGAATGAAACTTTGTGTGACGGTAGAGGGAAGTCCAAGGGTCAATGCCCTACCCTCCTCTTCGTCAATGACGTGGCCGGAAATGAGTCATAAAAGTAATCCGGGTTCTTTATTGCCACACCTTGTATATCCTCTATTTTTCTTTCAGTTCTTCTTTTAAGTATTTTTGCTGTATGTGCCATAAGGCTTATTGTGCGATGGTCACTGCATTTTGTAGCTTTTGCCTTTTTCTTTAAGGCAATCACAGTCACTTCTGTAAAGCCCTTGGACCACTCTCCAGTTTCATTTATGGTGTTTATTAGTTTTGTCAGTGTTTTCAAACCACCTTCTCCCAGTAACTTAAGCACATCTCCAGGTACATCATCATCTCCTGTAGCCTTTCCATTCCTCATGTTCTTGATAGCTTTTTCCACCTCACTTTGTAAAATATATGGTCCTTTCTCGTCAGTATCTACTCCTTCTTCCGGTTCCATTTTTAAGGTTTCTGGCCGATTAGGTCGACCATATTGTTCTGTAATATAATTTTCCCAAATTTTCAGCACTTGCCTCTGATCTACTATTCTATTCCCCTGGGAGTCTTCGATTTATTCTGTTTCTTGAGATCAAAGTTGTATCAAAATATTAATATTTCTCGTTATCATGATGTAATTACAGAGACATGAAAATGCAATAGTGAAGTCTTGGCCATATCGCAGCTTATTTGTACGGTTACAATAACGCAGAGGCTAGCCCGTCTCTAGCCCTTACTGTGTGTATCGTTAGCAGCCTTAAGTTCAGTGAACCTTTCAGGGATTCTAAGTATCTCATGCGTCTTGAAATGTAATGCTTGGCGTTAGTTTTGACATGACCGAAATAAAAAAGAACACTATACACAAGGCTGAAAGTGACGGGTTGAGTGTGGATGTTATTGTGAACTTACCTCTATTCTTCCAGCCTTAAGTAACACGTTCTTTGTAATAAAAGACAGAGGGTAGGTTTTCAGACACCATTCAGATTCCATCTCTCAGTTATGTTTTGAGCAGTGGAGATGATCCAAGTTCGGGAATAAAGTAATTTTAGCGTAGGCTAAATTAAAGTTGTTTTTTCAAGTGTAATTTCCAAATTAGGTTTCAGGTTAATATTGTATTTATATTAGAATTAGTGATTAATATGAATAGGGTGGACGCCCTTCTGAAATCACAGTTCTCAACTTTGAGTTTAGAAGAGAAATTAAAAGTAAATCTCTTGGCGCGCATCAACCAACAGATTTGAAACTTGATCAGAACTGCAAGACTCAGAAAAGAACGTTTCCGTTATCTTAGTTTCACAAGAAGAAATGGCTGACTGTTAAGTGAAGAAAAGAAATCAATTTTTTGTTTTGTGTGTTTTCTGTTTTTTGGGGAAACGAGTTGGCCTGTGACAGGTATAACTGACCTTAAACATTTGTCAGAAAGAGTTAGAAAACACGAAGCGTCGCAAAGGTATTTTGAAAATGATGTAAAAGTTAATCTCTTTGGGTCTGTCAATATTTTAACCCAATTAAGTGATAGCTATACGGTTTCTATTCAGCGTCACAATGAACTTGTGGATAAAAATAGACACATATTAAATAGGGAAATTAATTGTATAAAGTTCTGCGGAACGCATGAACTCCCTCTTCGGGGACATGAAGAGCGCGGGAGTTCTTACAATCGCGGGATATTTTTGGATCTCATGTCGGAACTAGCGGCTTTAGATAGTGTTCTAAGTTAACCTTTAAATAGTATAACTGTGTCAAAAAACACGTCGAAAACAATTCAAAATGAATTAGAAGATTGTATGTATGCGGTATACAAGGAAACGGTCAAACAAGTAAATCAAAATGCAAAATATGTAGCTGTCCAGGCAGATGAAACCTCTGACGTGTCATGCATGTCCCAATTAGTCATTCTGCTACGGTATGTCAATAGCAGTGGTCCTGTTGAGAGATTCATTTCCTTTGTTCACATTCAGGGTCGAACTTCAGAAGGTTTAGCATCAGTACTTAAACAAGAATTAGAACCATACAACCTTGAATAAAAACTAATTGCTCAATCCTATGATGGTGCTCCCGCGTTTTGTGGCGTGAACAGCGGGGTCCAGGTAAAGATAAGAGATACATTTCCTCATGCACATTTCATCCACTTTGGACATTAATAAGAGTGAACAATCTGGAAGCCACTCTGTCGGAAATACACAAACTGACAGATATTGTACTTACAACTCCAATATCAACCGCCGAATCCGAGCGTTGTTTCAGTGCTCTAAAGAGAGTTAAGACATATCTAAGGAACTCAATGGGTGAAGAACGTCTGAAGGCACTGGCTGTACTTGGCATTCATAAGGACATGATTGCAGATATTCCGGCATTCAACCTAAAAGTGTTTGATTTGTTTGCTTCCCAGAAGAATAGAGGAGCACAGTTCCTATATAAATGAGGTAACTTTTAAAGCATTATTTTAATTAATGGTATGAATTGCAATGGAGCATGCTTAAATTTTCTAATACCGTTAAGTGCAAAATATTTTCACATGTTTTAAAGTAGGAGTTTGTATTACAACTCGCATCACTACTACCTATTATTATTATTCTTATTATTATATAACAACGTAAGAATGTATCACTGTCTCATATTAGCCCTACCATCTATTTGAGCCAAGAGCCACCACTGGAAAATTGTATCATGTCTGACAGTTCCTAACTACATAAGATAATTTACAAAGCATCTCACCTGAAACTGTTGCTGCTGATTATTATAATTCATCCTCACTTGTGCAGAATGATCCTGAGAATTTGGAATAACATGCTGTATACTTGTTGAGATATTCTTCTTAACTGTTTGGAGGTTGAAAGTCGCCAATAGACCCTCAACCGATTGTTTCCCTTCCCTTGACAGAAAACTATTATATGGGTACAAACGATACAGGATCTCATATGGTGACAGGCCTGGTAATTTCTCCTGGAAGAATAAAGTAAATATATAACATAAATGATTATGAGGAAACTAAACCAGCTCTGCAATGAAGACTGGTACTGTATACCATGAAGTCATTACAGGAAACACCAGGTGTCAGCATCACAATTAATACTTTAATCAATAACATCCGTAAGTACTACGGAAACTATAGTTGCAGCCAAGTTAACCAGATGTATTAACTTTAAAAATAAAATTCATTTGGAGTTCTCTGAGTTGTGTTATCACACACAAAATGTTTGAAAAGTCAGGACTCAGTGGTATAATGAATATTTAAAGCAATGAATTCAATCAGAAACTGCCTCCATCAGCTCAGCAATGCTAAACAACGCAAGCAACGATGTGAACTTCCACTTAAAAACGTGTTTTCACTTTCATGGACAATAGTGTGAAGAGATAATTTAAACATGACACTGATTCTTGCATTTTCACTCTTTGTACACAGACCTGTGTCCACACAACAAGAAGTTCTTGCAGCACACATCTCCCACAGCCCTACATCTACTTGTAATGCCCTAGCGGCGCAGGGGGGCATGGAGGTATCCCTCCCGCTGCTGCCGCCGCTGTAATGCCGTGGTACAGGGGGGCGTGGAGTCAGCCCGCCTCTGTCACCACTGTAACTCCGCATGTAGGGGCCGTGGAGGTATCCTTCCTCGCCTCCACTAGTTAAGTCGTAAACTGGTACTCCTGGTAACGTCGCGCCGTCGGGGGTGTGCAGGTACCCCTCCTGGCCTCCACTTGGTTATGCTGTAAGGCGTTAACGTAATCATCCTAGCTTACCCTTAGCTAGGATTCTCCTATATCGGAGTCTCCTTCTGTCATACACGCTGCCACCATCTATTTTCTGTTCTTTCAATTGTTGGTACTACTCCCTGGCATATAGTCTTAGCTCCTTCTTGACCACTCCGCATATGGTTTACAGGTAGCCACGTAATCCATTAATATTACACTTTATCTTCGGATCTTGGGAGGGCGTTACTATCAAGGCT